GGGAGGGGAAGGGGGGTCCAGGCTGGCTGGGCCAGGGCTGTGATGGGGGAAGGGAGAGGGGGGTCTGGGCTCGCTGGGTCTTGGCTGTGACGGGGGAGGGGAAGGGAAGGGGGGTCCGGGCTCGCTGGGCCAGGACACTGACCCATCTCCCTCTCCCCAGAGCACAGCGCTTGACGCTCTGGAGCGGGGGCTGGACGTTCACGTGGTGGCCGACGCGTGCTCCTCCAGAAGGTCAGGCTGGGGGGCTGGGATGTGGGTGGACGGGGGTCCTGGCTGGGACAGGAACTGGGGGTGCGGGGAGGGGTTCCCAGCAGACAGGACTGGGGGAGAGTTGGGGAGGGGGCTGAAATGAGGAGCCTGGGTTGGGGGGGTTTCCAGCAGACAAGACTGGGGGGGAGTTAGGGGGGACCTTGGCTGGGAGGGGTTCCCAACAGAGGGGTGGGGGGGCAGTGTGGCTGTGGTGGGGCACTGCCCCACCCGTGGCCGCCCTGACGTCTCTCTCCCCCAGCCAAGTGGACCGGCTGGCGGCCCTGTCCCGCCTGCGGCAGAGTGGTGCCTTCATCACCACCAGCGAGGGGCTGATCCTGCAGCTGGTCAGAGACGCCGCTGACCCCCGCTTCCGACAGGTACCACTCCCGCCAACCTGCCCCCCCAGCCAGTCCCCGCCCTGGGGCCAGATGGGAGCCGGCAGCCCCCTAGAGGGGAAAGGCCCCATTCCCTGCCCCCCCGAGCCAGCCAGTCCCTGCCCTGGGGCCGGATAGGAGCCGGCAGCCCCAGAGGCCAAGGCGGGGCGTGGGGCCTGTCCGTCGTCTGGCGTCTCATGCTCTGTTCTATCCTTCCAGATCCAGAAGCTCATTAAGGACCCGGCCCCGGACAGCGGCCTCCTCTCCCTGTTCCCAGGACAGAGCCCCGGCTTCAGCTAACCCTGTGGCCCCCAAGCCCCCCCTCCCCCGTTCCCAGCACATGGGGGCAGGGCAGGGCTGGAATAAACCCTTCAATACAGTGATCAGCTGGCACTGCGTGTGTGTGAAGTGCTGCCCCCTGCTGGTGTCTGTGTGGGTGTCAGTCATGCTGCCCCCTGCTGGCGTGTGTGTGCTTTTTGCCTGTCCGTCTCTCTGCTGTTGATTGAGCCTCGAAGCCTCGTGCCCCCCAGCAACCTGCGGTTCCCCAGTCCCACGCACTTCCATTCCTAGACAATGTGTCCCCACCCACTGCCCTCACCCCATCAGCCCCCAGTTCCCACCCCTCTGACCCCCGTCCCACGTTCCCCTCTTGGGGGGGCCAGCCGTACTCAGCTCCCGCCAGGGTTCCCCCCCCCCCCCCCCCCCCC